TCAGTTTTTAAACAACGATTTACAATCGTTCAAGATTGATAAAAAAAAAAAAAAAATGTCATATACTGTTTAGAATTTAAGTTATTTTAACAAACAAATTTTAATTTTAAAAGTTTCTTTACAAAATTTCTTTCATTTTTTTTTTGTTTGTATTTACCATTACAAATTATATTATTAAGTAACATATTAAAAATTTTAATAGAACTTCGATATTTATTATTATTCAAAAAATTTTAACTGTCCTTTTTTCAAAAAAAAAACATATTTTTAATTGTTAATTATTTATTGTTTACTGTTGTTTATTTATAAATTTTAAATTATGTTTAAAATATTTTGAAAAAGTATAATTCATTATTAAATTTTTTTTCCTATTCTATTCTATTCCATTTTTTTTTTTTTTTTTCAGGTAGGTATAATATTTGCGATAGTAATTGCTGGTATTCTATTTTTTGGAATATGTGCAGCAGTTATTTATTTCGGATTTGTTAAAAGGGTTAGTTAATATAATTAATTTCTTTCTTTCTTTTTTCTTTTTTCCATTATAGAATAACAAAATAATAAACTTTGTTATTTATTGTTGCCTGTTCTTGCTATTGTTGTTTTTTAAAAAAAAAAGAAAGAAAAAAAAACGAAAAGTTTGTTTTAATAATTCTTTCTTTTTTCTGCTTTTTTTTTTTAAATTCAAAAGATATTGGATATATATCTATTTCATCTCTACATTCTTGTATCTTTTTAAATTTAATACTATTCATTTAAAAACTTGAAATTTAAATTTAAAATTTAATCCAAATTTGATATGATGAAATCCAAATTGTTTTTTTTCTTTTGATAAGATCCAGGTTGTTTTTTGATGGGAACCGGCTTGTTTCTTTGATAAGATATTCTTTTATATATATAAGATGATATGATATTCTAAGATATATAAGATGATATGATATTCTTTGATAAGATTAAGATTTTTTTTTTCTCATTAAATTATATTTTTCTTTATGCAATTGCATCGGTAATTTAACCATAAATGGTTAATATGGAGTATTTCAATGCTTATTAATCTGTTTATTTAGAAGAGTAGTCAATACATGTGTCATCCGGAATTCCGCCCTCCCTGAAAATCATGTAAGAGGAATACATTTCGGAAATATATCTCATTAGGTAAAATTAATGATTTGAGTAATTTATAATTTGTTGTTGCAGATGCGGAAAAGTGAAAAGAAAAGGCGTATAAGTAGTAGTACCGGATCCAGAACAACCAGTATCTTACGAGTACCAGCTACAACTACTTATACATCATTACGCAATGAAAAGCCACCATTTCCTCATCAGTTATTATCTATTAAATTAATTTAAATTAATGAATTTTTTTCAAAATGTTTAAATTTTACAATTACTTCTTAGATTACATATATAGCATTAAAGTTAAAAGGTTTATTGTTATTATCAGATATCACTCAATAACAATGATAGATCATTGATAGTATGATAAATCTCTTAAATAAAATCAATATGCAAGAAATTAATTTTTTTTTTTTTTATATACCTTTTTTTCATTCTTTTTTCCAGATTACCTTAAATAATTGAATTAGTTTAATAATCTGCTCACACGACTTTCAGAACTTTTCATAAGTTAAAATCTTTAAATAATTTTTTTTCTTTTAAACTAATTTTTGATCAACTAACATTGGAGTTAGTCAGCTAAACAATATTTGAAATAATGTATGAAATGAAGAGAACGATTGAATAGCTAGCATTTTGAAGTTTCGAGAAATTTCCCTCAATCCGGTATTCTTTAAATAATCTAATAGCTTTCAAATTTCAGAAGAATTAAAGATTGTTTTTCTAGGCAACCGCATGGTACTTACATTCCTAGTCAGGAAACACCTATCCTGCAATCAGCGATCCATCCTCAAACCAAGTATGTACCACCACCACCCATGTATACCGTTCAACCGAATTATCCACAATCCCAGAAGCAAAATTATCCAGAGACATCCGGAAATGTTCAATCTCATCAGGTAAATGATTACTGAAGGAATAACATGCCGTAATATTACTTGGAATGCTTACACATCAATTTATCATTCCTATTCTTTTTTCCTGGCCCAAACATTAGAATCGAGCTTGGGTAATACCTAAAATGTTTCTTTTACTTTATTACTTCATAACTTTGCATAAATATAAAGTAATACAGCTGAATTACTAAAGTTCTGTAACAACCTCTCGACTTTCCATAACAAACACACGCATATACTTGACCACACATACGCTTGGCCAGACGTACATTTGGCCATGACTATATAAATGTTTAAATGAAGGCCAAAAACAGTAATAATCGATTATTATTTATAATAATCGTATCATTTCCTTAAATTTTAATAATAATAATAATAATAGAAATAATAATAATAACAATAATAATAATAATAATAATAATAATAATAATAATAATAATAATAATAATAATAATAATAATAATAATAATAATAATAATAATAATAATAATAATAATAATAATAATAATAATAATAATAATAATAATAATAATAATAATAATAATAATAATAATAATAATAATAATAATAATAATAATAATAATAATAATAATAATAATAATAATAATAATAATAATAATAATAATAATAATAATAATAATACTACTACTA